TAACAGAGATTTGGGGTTTGGCACCTCCACATTGACGATCTTCCTGGGATCTGGTGTTGCTTGGGTTAAAGAAATGGGTGCTGTGCGTACATCACCCTCATGCAGATTAGACTGACTAGCCCTATTGAATTTTGTTAAATTTACTGTATGAGAAACAGTAGAGAAAAAAGAAGAAACAGATCCCATATCACCTAAAGTAGAAACACCTGAATGAGATTGTGGTACTGAACCAGCATAAAAATTTACTGATTGTGAGGATTGTGAAAAATTGCGTGTACGACCTGAGTGAGTACGCTTTTGTGCGGACATGTGAGATCCCTCTCCCGCATTTTTTCATTTGTAAGGCCCCTGTGTTTGAACACCAGATTGGGGAAAATGAACCTGTGCAGAAGATACAGAAGAAGATACTCGACATGTTTCGCCAAATTTCTGGCTTCTTCAGGAGGTTTACAGATAGTGGCATATAATTGCCACTAGGAGAGACAAAAATATATCAATAAACAATTTGATTTACAAAGTTACAAAAAATGATATCAGAGTCATCAATACATCATAGAAGAATAGGAAAATGCAGTGTCAGAATTATTAGGGTCATTGGTGGGAGCTATTTGGTGTGCCGTAGTTTTCCTACGTTTTTTTTTTCCCATTAACCTGTGCCCATTTGTATGCCTGATTAGAATCATAAGATAGTTTATCACGTGTATATATATTTCTTTTCTTTTGTTTTCAAGATTTCAATAACAAAGGACTCCCAATGTACTTATAGAGCCCCCTCTCCGTTGAGAAAAAGTGGTATCAGATACTACATTATTGTTGCCACTATACAGTTTTTCAATCTCCCTATCAATCATCTCTAATTCATTTGTTTATTGTTGACATAATAGTTCCATCATTCTACAAGAACAGAATTGTAGATTGTTCTCTTACTCCATCCTGAATTCTGCTCCTACTTTCCTAATATTGGGAAAAATTTTAATTCGTAGCCCCCATGGAGATATTTCCTCCTCTCATATATTTCTGAAAATATAGTTTATTCCAAAATAGCCGTGATTTTCTTTCTAATAATCTCTGTAGAGAAGTGAAAAAACGATCCATCCTAATCCCCCCTATTGATGCACATTGAGTCTGATTAATTTGATCCATTAATCCCTCAAACACTGTCCCACAGTAGCTAGTCATAATTGAACTTATTTAAAGAAATCAATTTACAGCTCAAAACAGCATAACAAGTGTATATACAGTGCAAAATTGCAAATATATGCTGATTTTCAGGCCACCAAAGGAAATGGTGATTGAAACACCTGATATAAGTATTGTCTGTATTATTTCAGGTGGGCTGGAGATCAGCTAGCACCACATCCCCTATAGTAAATATCCAACATTGTACAGAAAGGAGGGGATTTTTAAGGTGCTCAACAGACTTCAAACATTTGATATTGTACTAAAATCATACAAAGCTTTATTCCATATTGTCATGTAAAAAACTACACCACATAAGTAGTTATGAGAAATGTAAAACCAACAGGATACTCCATATGGCTTGAATTTCACAATGCAACAATTCCCACTAGACATATTTCGCCAAATTTCTGGCTTCTTTAGGAGATTTACAGATAGTGGCATATAATTGCCACTAGGAGAGACTAAAATATATCAATAAACAATTTGATTTGCAAAGTTACAAAAAATGATATTAGAGTCATCAATACATCATAATCATACATAGTTAATGACTACACCTACTGAATGTAGGTTTTTATAGGGTTAACCTGCCAAGTCTGTTCTTACCAGGGGTATCTTCATATATGGCAAACCCAGCAACCATCTGAGAAGGGTGGACATCTGGTAGTAATGGATTCTAAACAGCATGGTTATAGACATCTTAAATAACTGGGAATGGTAAAAAAAGATTTCTGCTACTTATGTTGATCGTGTAACTTTCAAGTATAGAAATTTGATTGGTCGAGCTTACAATGAAGGTATTATTGATGAGAAAACATGTGAATATTTGAATGTCAAAACTCCTAGAACACCTACTCTTTATGCTTTACCCAAAATTCATAAAAATTTGACTCATCCTCCTGAGAGGCCTATTGTCTCAGGTAGAGGCTGCCTTACTGAATCTGCTAGTCAATTAATGATTATTTACGCCCACATGTTTAAGCTTTGACCTCCTATGTCCGAGATATAATGGACCTCCTAAAAATCCTGGATGGAATTTACGTTCCTAAAGGGGCTTGGCTGGTAGCAGTAGATGTTGAGTCCCTCTATAATTCAATCCCCCATGAATGGGGGGTGGGAGTTGTTGAGGGCTTCATTTTGGAATGAGGTGTATCCTCAGGTCAATATAACCAGTTTATTCTTGACCTTTTACAGTTTGTTTTGACAAGTAACATTTTTATGTTTGGGCGCTCCCACTACCTCCAGGTGGAGGGAGTGGTGATGGGGACACGTTGCACCCCATCGTACACTAACATGTACCTGGGGGGGTGGAAGTGGGAGCGGGAGCTCTTTTTTAGAGAGGATATTCAAGAATACCTTAACAAGGTGCTAATTTGGTGCAGGTTTATTGATGATGTCTTTATGATATGAACTAGATCACTAGTTGAATTACAGTCATTCATGTCCATTTGAAGGCAAAACAGCTTTAACCTCAAATCTACAATGAACTGCCACCAGGAGACAATCAGCTTCCTGGATGTTCAGATTTTCATTCAGGGAGATCGCAGTATAGGCTCTACTCTCTTTAGAAAACCTTCCTCAGGTAATACCATCCTACATGCTACTAGTTCTCACCCGGCACCTCTGGTGTCAAGTACACCGTATAGCCTATACCTCCGTTTAAAAAGGAACTGTACTAACCAAGAGGATTTTGAAGTGGAGGCTAAGGCCTTTCAAAACCAGCTAAGAGAAAGGGGATATAGTAAGTTATGCCTCAAAAAAGCCTATCAAATTGCTAACGGTCAGGATAGACAATCATTGATTCATAAGAAGAAAAGGATCAAATCAAATAACCAAAACATCAGGCCAATTGCAAGATACTCAATGCAGCACAGAGAGGTTAGTCAAATATTGAATAAATATTGGTATTTACTAAGGGCAGATATTACGGTATCCAAATATGCGAAAAACTACCCAGAAATAACTTATAGGAGGTCCTCATCTCTTAAAGATCAATTGGTTCAGAGCCATTATTCAAACAAACCTAGGTTTAGATCTAAAAGAACTGGTACAGCTTCTTGTGGGAGATGGAATTTTTGTAGATTCATTCCTCAAATTACTTTACTCAATGGTCGCATGTATACTCCAAGATTTTTTGCTAATTGTCAAACGTGTGGCATAGTATATCTTATGGGATGCGAATGTAGTGCTTTCTATATAGGAAAAACCAAAAGACCTTTTTTTTGAGAGAGCTTGCGACCATGTAGCACTAATCTCTAAAAAGAAAATGGAAACACCTATCAGCCGACGTGGGCTTGTATCATGGGTTTGATTTAGCTGGGACCTGTCACGTGTCCCAGAAGACTATGGGGAGGGAGGGGGGAGGACAATTTCCACTTCCAATCACCTAGGCAATCTCAGCGGAGGTGGGAGCAGGTACCTATCAAAATCGGTTACCCACTCCCCCCAACGGTGCCAATTCCTTATGGGGAGCAGGGGACCAGTCCTTAAAGTGGAACTTCCTCTTTTGGGTGGAGCTCCGCTTTAAGAAAAGACATATTAACAGAAGCCACATTTATTATATATATATATATATATATATATATATATATATATATATATCTGAAAATCATCTATTGACATCTTTCAAAAAAGAACCTGTAAATGTTGGAAAAGCTTTAGAGCATTAAAGAGTTGGAACATCTATTGTGTATCAATAGCTGTCAATGTCTCCACTAGGGAGATTTTTCCTTAACTTCCTGTCCCAATGACCATGCAAGAAGTCAAGGAATTCTTCCCAACAAAGAATATACAGTAAAAATACTTGATAGAAGATCTACTCCTTCCCCATACAATTAAATAAACACTTTTAATGCTGCGATTTTGCAGTCATTCCTGCAATAATGTGAACGGAGCTTTAAAGTGTTACTAAACCCCGGACACTGCATTCACTATATCTAGTCTCTGTCAGTACACAGAACATGGAAATGCAATTATTTTAGTAAATATAAACTGCTAAATACCTTTTTCTCATCAGCAGTTACAGCAGTCTTGTGACATCAGCAGAGCACTGGTTAAAGCTTGTAGGAGGAGTTTTATTTCTGCTGTAGGAGGATGTGAAACCTCTGGCCCTCTGCCTGGACAGTGCTGATTGGTCCTTTGCTGATAAAGTGCATCCTCTTAAGAAAAAAAAACAAACCCTCTAGCAATACACACCAAACTGAGCATGTATGTGCATGTGACCACAGGTTGAGTCTGTATCAGGTGGACATTTCAACAAGAGGAGGGGCAGAGAAAAAAGGATCAAACAGTCTTTTTACACAATGCAGAGGATTAACCCCTTAGGTTCCACAATGAGTATAACAACCATACTTGACTGCATATACAGACTGATTTTACTGTTGTGGGTTTAATAACACTTTGAGGATCCTTAATTAGAATGCATAATTGTTTTGCGTTGTCGGTAAGCATGTAAAAGAGGTCAGTGTGATGTAAATAATCTCATATATTAAGACTGTAAAACTTTGTTTCTGTGTATAATGTATACTTACTGTATATACTGTATGTACATAAGAGCAGCTATATGTGCACATTACAAATTTAGGCTTTGATTGCTATTTTACAGGGCTTTACTGCACCTTACACTATGGCTTGGATTTACTAAAGTGGTTTAGGCTCTTCACCTAGCAAAGTGAATTTTCACACTATGCCTATGCGTTTTAGCATCATAAACCTAGCTGTAATAATGAAGAATGCCCAGTGAATTTATTATAGGCCACAATTGTTTAAAAGACAAATGTAGCTTTAACCAGGTGGCTGTGTTTCCCATTTTTGTTCTGTTAAACAGAATTCATTTTGGCCATTAGTCTTTGTAAAGCTTGCTTTACATCCTTATTTCTTAAACTGTATATGAAGGGGTTCAACATGGGAGCAAGAACTGTATACATTACACTTGCCACCCTGTCCTTTGTCAATGAGTAGCTCGAAGATGGACGGAAGTAAGTAAACATAATGGTTCCAAAGTAAAATATGACCACGGCAAGGTGGGAAGAACAAGTAGAGAAGACTTTACTTCTTCCCTCTGCTGAGCTGATTTTAAAAATGGCCAAGATAATATAGATATAAGAGACTAAGATGAACAGAAATGGTCCTGCTACTACAATGGAGCCTTCAGAGAAAATGACCAATTCATTTATGGTTGTGTCAGAGCAAGCGAGCGTAAAGAGTGGCACCATGTCACACAGAAAGTGGTTGATTAAGTTGGACCGGCAGTAAAAAAGCTGTGAAGTCAAAGTTGAGTGCAAAATTGAATTGGCTGTTGAAAGCAGCCAGCAACTAGCAATGAGTTTAAATCTAAGCCTTTTGTTCATGACCACCACGTAGCGAAGAGGGTCACAGATGGCAATATAACGATCATAAGCCATGACAGCAAGCAAAAAGTCCTCTACGTTGGCAAATGTCAAGAAAAAGTAGATCTGGGCCATGCAACTTTCAAACGAAATTACTCTTCTCTTTAGATCCACCATGAAGTTCTTCAGCATTTGAGGAGCAGTCACCAAACACAGACAAATGTCTACAAAGGACAAGTTGCCCAGAAAAAAGTACATTGGAGATTGCAGCTGAGAATCCCAGTAAGTCACCACAATGATTACCAAATTTCCTGTCACTGTGATAAGTAAAATGAGAAGAAAAAACGCAAAAAGTGCGGTCTGGTATTTCTGGAGGTCAGAAAATGTTGATAAGATAAATTCTGTAATTTGAGTAGAATTGTCTGACTCCATGCTTATAATATCTAAGTAAAAAAAAAAAAAAAAAAAAAACTATGTTTGAAATAGATTCATTAGTTCTCTGTTTTAATGGAAGGAAATCTGTCTTTTCCATTGTCATTTTTTTTAATGTCAAACAAATGAATGCAGCTATTTTCATTAACGCACGCACGCACGCACGCACGCACGCACGCACACACACACACACACACACACACACACACACACTTTTTTAACAGTAAACACCTGAATTTGACTTTGTATAAACCTCTTGCCATCCCTGTACAGAGCTCAGACTGGGGGAGATCAAAGCATGCCCACATGGACGAAAAAAAAAAAAAAATATTTTAAAAATATTCTTCCCAAATATATTGACATATATTTGAAATGCTACAATTTTGGCCATATTCAATATATTTCAAAATTTTTTTAAAAATTTCAAATATATTTTTCTTCCATATGGGATATGAGGAAGCCAATACGTTGTGCTGCAGTGTTCATGTGCTAAGAAGACATATGCTGATAGGAGCAGAGAGCAGGGTGACGGAGAGATGAGTAAATCTCAGGAAAAGGGGCCGAGAGATGATGAGTAAATCTCAGGATCTGTATATTTAGCTAAATGCCCAGCTTTAACTCTTTAATTATTTAGTATAAAATATTAATAAGGTTTTTTTATGTTCCTTGTCAAAATGCAACTATTTAAATGACAACCATCAAGTTTTTTGTAGCTTGGTATTTAGCACTGGTTTCTGAGGTCTTGGATATATTTCTCACCCGGGGGCGGACAGACCATTCGAGCACTCAGGCACTGCCCGAGGGCCCAGGGTCAGTAGGGGGCCCCATGAAATGCCCCTGGTACCTTTTATAGTTTTTTATGGGTGTGCTTTGAGTGTGGGCAAGGACACAGGGGCCCCATGATCCCCTATTGCCCGGGGGCCCCATGAGTTATCAGTCCGCCCCTGTAAATCTCACCAGTGCAATAGTTACAGGGTTTTCCAATATTTGGGCTTCCTTTGGTTTCTCTGGTTTGAGGTCACACAATCCAAAAATCCAGATTTTTATGGTTATTCCAAGTTAGTGATATTACTGTAGGGGAATAAATAAGAAACGCCTACAATAAAAGTATCTGAATTTTGTTGTGTCTACAGTACTGATAAGCCTGTTAAACACTCTCTAGTTATCCAACTAACATTGTGCTACTAAAATTCTTTTTTAATTAAAACTAAATAAATGTTTGGGTTTTCTGCTATTTCACCACGATGCATTCACAAACATTTAGCAAACAAACCTGTATATAGGCTAACAGATCGTTTTTTCTAGCAAATTATTTAAAGCTTATGTTTGACACAACAGAATGAAATGTTTGGCCTCTTATCTTCTAATATGTATTCTACAAGGAATAAGGCAGTTTAGACTGATCTCTGGAGAAATGCACTGTGGGAATACTGGCAATAGTTACCAAATGATTGGTAACAATTTTTTTTTAATAATTGGCTTTAGATATTTTTAATACCAGTTAAATGCACTGTTTGTAGAAGTGTAGGGGCCCTCTTTAAAGTAGTGGCAATAAAAATGAATGTGTGGGATTAACATTCCGACAGGACACTGAGCATGCTCTCATTCTGGGCATTCCCGTATATGTCCTAGAAATGTTAAGGCTCACCTCCAGTCGAATCTTTCTTTCAGTCTTGCGCAGCGGTTGGAGAGGTTAGTACCCCTGTCAGGTTTTTACAGCTGTTTGTATCCCACTGGAGATGGTTCCCCCATTTCCTGATGTCTCCGGGAGACCAGGTGACAGGAAATCTCTTCAGAGGAACAAAAAAAAAATGCTTTTAGAAAGGCAAGGAATAGTTGCACCACAATGATTCTTCCATTGGTCAAAAGTAGGGATGACAAAATTGAGTTAAAAAAAGTAAAATTCAAAGTTGCATTACACAATTGCCAAACACTTACAAAAAAGGAAACAAAACACAAAAAGTACAAATATACTAACAATAAAATAAATTAACCACCTGACCTCTGGAAGGTTTTACCCCCTTCATGATGAGGGCATTTTTTTTTTTGCTTTTCAGCACTGCCCTACTTTAACTGGCAATTGCTCTGTCATGCAACACTGTACCCAAATGATACACTATATTGCCAAAAGTATTGGGATGCCTACATTTACACACACATGAACTTTAATGACATCCCAGTCTTAGTCCGTAGGGTTCAATATTGAGTTGGCTCACCTTTTGCAGCTATAACAGCTTCAACTCTTCTGGGAAGGCTGTCCACAAGGTTTAGGAGTGTGTCTATGGGAATGTTTGACCGTTCTTCCAGAAGCGCATTTGTGAGGTCAGGCACTGATGTTGGACGAGATGGCCTGGCATGCAGTCTCCACTCTAATTCATCCCAAAGGTGTTCTTTCGGGTTGAGGTCAGGACAGTCAAGTTCCTCCACCCTAAACTCGCTCATCCATGTCTTTATGGACCTTGCTTTGTGCACTGGTGCGCAGTCATGTTGGAACAGGAAGGGGCCATCCCCAAACTGTTCTCCCAAAGTTGGGAGCATGAAATTGTCCAAAATATCTTGCTATGCTGATGCCTTAAGATTCCCTTCACTGGAACTAAAGGGCTAAGCCCAAAGCCTTAAAAATAACCCCACACCATAATCCTCCCTCCACCAAACTTTACACTTGACACAATGCAGTCAGGTAAGTACCGTTCTCCTGGCAACTGCCAAACCCTGACACGTCCATCGGATTGCCAGATAGAGAAGCATGATTCATCACTCCAGAAAACACGTCTCCACTGCTCTAGAGTCCGTGGTCCAGCATGCTTTACACCACTGCATCCAAAGGTTTGCATTGCACTTGGTGATGCAAGGCTTGGATGCAGGTACTTGGCCATGGAAACCTATTCCATGAAGCTCTCTATGATCTCTGTTGTTGTGCTAATCTGAAGGTCACACAAAGTTTGGAGGCATTTAGCTATTGACTCTGCAGACAGCTGGCAACTTTTGCACACTGTGCCCTTCAGCATTGCTGACCCTGCTCTGTCATTTTATGTGGCCCACCACTTCATGGCTGAGTTGCTGTTGTTCCCAAGTACTTCCACTTTGTTATAATACCACTAACAGTTGACTGTGGAATATTTAGTAGCAAGGAAATTTCATGGATGGACTTATTGCACAGGTGGCAACCTATCACGGTACCACACTTCAATTCATTGAGCTCCTGAGAGCGACCCATTTTTTTCCAAATGTTTGTAGAAGTAGTCTGCATGCCTAGGTGCTTGATTTTATACACCTGTGGCCATGGAGGTGATTAGAACACTTGAATCCAATGATTTGGAAGGGTGTTCCAATAATTTTGTCAATATAGTGTATTTCTATAATTTTTTTTCACACAAATAGTGCTTTCTTTTGGTGGTATTTGATCACTTCTGGGTTTATTATATAAATGAAAAAAGACTGACAGTTTTGGAAAAAACTAATATTTTTACTTTCTGTTCTTGTTTCAATTTGTTTATTAAGTTTAACAATAGACATAATACAAAAAGATAAGCATATGAGTCACCCGCGCAGGGGCTGCATAATAAAACAACCAATACAGGCTGATCAATATCAGTTACAGTTGAAAATATCCAAATAGAAGGATTCTGAAACATTGGGATGATACCAATAGGCTGAAAGCATGATAATGGCATGCCCCAAAATGTACTCGCAGACACCAAAGGGAAGGCTCTCCTCCTGCAACCTGTCCCATAGAGCGGTAACTGCGAGAGCATAAACCAGAAAAGACTAGAAACAGAAGAGAAAGGAAAGAAAGGAGAGTAGTCAAACAAGAAAGAAGGAGGGGGAAACTCTGACTTGAGGGCTCCAAAGGGAGTAGTCAGACAAGGCCTAGGCATATAGATTGGAGTGAAGGAAATTCATATGAGATCCAAGGTTCCCAGACCCTAAGAAATTGAGCTGTCATTCAAAATACTGGACATTTGCTCATGAAGCATCATTGTGGCTAATCGTGTCTTTACCCCCTGAAAAGCCACCCATTAGGTCTTCCAGGCTTGCACTATGGTCCGTTTAGCTGAAGTAAAAAGATATGCAGCCAGTTTTCTGCTGTGATGCATATAAGCCAGGTATGGGACAGTGTAAGAGGGCCAACTTTGCATATCTGTGAACTGTGAGATGGAAGAGGACCTGGAGCGGGCCAAAAAACCTTGACCAAAGACCTATTCGTCTTGGATAGGACCACCATACATGCAAAACTTCCCCCCCCCCCCGCTGTCCACAGTTACAGAAGCACCTGTCACTACTTCCAGGGTAAGCATGTGCAATTTGGACAGGTGTGCTGAAAGGCATGTTCAAAGAAAGATCTTCCAATATGGGTAGGTGGACGTGTGGCACAGGGCACCAATCCAGTGTTTTAGTTGAAGAAAGTGGAAATTTTCCCTAGCAGGGGCATCATACATCTCTCTCTGATGGCCTCCCAAGATGGAAAGAAGTGAGAGGACAAGAAATTTTGGACCCACGTGAAGCCATGGGAAAGCCAACAAGAGTATGCCCGCTCCTCCTCCAGACCTGGGGGAAAGAGATTGTTGTGAGTGATAAGAGGTAACGGCAGAAAGGGGGACAGTAGGTTGCCTGAGTAGCAGACTGAGTACCAGATTCTCAGGCTATGCAACATCATAGGGGGCGTAGTTTATGGGGAAGACAGAGCAAAGCTTGCAGTGAAGACAGGTCACAGTAGGGCAGTTTGAGCAAAACCCAAAGGGGGACATTCAAAACCGCAGGAAGCATAGCTAACGGGGAGATCTGTGCCACTGCATTGTAACTAGATACGTTAAGGACCCCCAAACTCCCTTGCAGCCTATGAACATAGAGAGTCGACCTAGGGACCCTAGGATGCTTCTGAGAACCCGAGTTTGCAATCAACTTTCAAGAAAGAAAGGGGGCATGTTTACTGGTAGTATGCAAAAATAATAAAGTGCCTTAGGTAAAATCATCATTTTAATGGTGGAAATCCTACCTAT